ACTGCTCGCCCCCTGTCCGCCTGCCTTGTCTGCAGCCCAGCACAGTGGGTGCCCAGGGGACACGGAATTGTGAGCGGGTGAGAGGGCCGAGAGAGATGCCACAGCCCAGCCCCCACTCCACAGCCGCCATGGCCACCCTGCTGCGCCTGCCCTGGCCCTGTTTGTCCGCAGAGCCACTCTCACCCTTCCTGTGCTCTGCCGGACATTCTGAGGGAGGCCGGCCTCCGCAGGATGCTTCCCAGGCTCCTCTGCCCTGGGTTTTGCTCCTAAGGCTAGTTTTCTTGCTTTGATCATCTCACTACTCTTACCAGGCTACTTCTAACCTAATCATGTATAAAATGAAATTCTTTTCCTTATTTCCCCGCCTTCTGGCTGAAGGGAAATGGAGGTAGGAGGGCATCACCTCCCCTCTCAGCAGGGGAGCATCTCTAGTGCCGGCCAAACCTCTTGGACCTAGAAGTTCTCCGGGTGGGTTCCAACTCCCATCAGGACACGGGACTCTGGTTCTGGTCATGCTCCTTCTCCTTCTGCTCCTCTGCCTGAGGATTCCTGCTTTGCTAGCACCCGGGGGACCTCCCAGGTGCCTGTTTGGCTTAGCTCTTCCACCACCCACAGAGCCAGTTCAGGCGTTACATTTCCACTGTGGGAAATACTGAGTGGTATCCACTTTCTTGCTCAGACTTTGACTGCCACCCATGTCCCTGGTATATTTGTCTTAGTCCTGGTAGGAAAGTTCCTTCATGCCAAATTGTTTTGTGCTCACAAAGTTGCTTTTGAAAAAGTTAAATCATCTCTTCATCCACTGATGGGTATTTGGGTCGTTTCCATGTATTAACTATTGTGAAAAATGTTGAGATAAACATGGGAGTAAAAAAGATGTGGTACATATGCATAATGGAATATTATTCAGCCATGAAAAAGGAGGATGTTCTGCCATTTACCACAAAATGGATAAACCTGGAGCACATTATGCTGCATTAGATACAGTCACACAAAGACAAATACTATATGATATCACTTATATGTGGAATCTAAAAAAGTTAAACTGGTAAAAAAAAAACAGAGTAAAATGGAAATTATTAGAGGTGGGGTGGAGGAATAAGAGGGATGGTTTTTCAGAGTACAGACATGTAACAAGTAGTACGTAAGCCATAGAGCTCTAATGCACTGTATGATGAATATAGATAGTAATATTGTATTATAGTTATGTAAGACGATAAGTATCACTATATCAGCAATTATTAAATGTATAAATGTGTCAAAGTAACACTGCAGTATACCTTAAACTCATCCAATGTTACACGTCAAATTTATTTAATTACAAAAGTAGTTAAGTCAGACCAAGCATGATGCATGGTGCTATCATCTCAGTAGGCCACGGTACTTATTGCGGAAAATTTTTTTAAGATCACGTCTGATATCTGATAGCCTAGAAGGGCTTAAATGCTTTTTTTTTCAATGAACTTGAGTCAAACAGAACACAAATTCTTCCAGGGGGCATGCAAAGTTGTCTCTAGAAGAAAAGGCAACTCAGGTGGGGTGGGGTCATTGCACCTGCAGCTCAGACACAGGGCCCGATTCACCCTCCATCTCTTCCAGTTATTAGTGGGAAGCTCAGTCCCTCTGCGTCTCTGCCCTTTGTTTTTCTCTAAAGCACTGAGAGTAATAATAAAGTAAGGAGATGGCACGTGTACGGGCACGTGGGCAGACACCACATGTAAAGGGCCTGTGACAGCGAAGGCTTGGTCTTGCCTCTAGGGCCGCTGCCCTCATGAATATTGCCAGCCTGCTGCTTCGCCTGTTCTGTCTCACATAATCGTTTATAAAATGAAATTCTTTTCTCTGTTCTCTAAAGCACAGCTAAAGTAAAATTCTCAAAAGAACTTTCCTTGAAAGCCAAGGAAACCAAAAGGGAAATGAATAAGTGGATCCAAAAGTGATAATCAAGTCCCCCTTACGACACGGGGGAGTTCCTGAACAGGTATTAGCATGGGCTGTCCCAGGGACCTGGCCTACCTGTCACAAATGCCCTCTCTCACACTGTGTGGCTGCTGGGCACAAACACAGATCTTGGAACATAGGAGCTTGCCTAACTGAATAGAGTGTCTTTTTCAAAGACATAATTTTTATTTCCCCAAAATAAAACTTCCCCCGCTTTCACCCTGCATGTGTTCCTTGGAGGTTTTATTCAAATAAAGGGACTGAGCCTTCTCAAAGCATCGGTTCATTATGTTGCCTTCAAGCCTAAAATCTTTGAGCCAGGGAAGGTTCTAAGGATGTTGTCTATCAACAGATTAAATAGCCTCCCAGTCCTGGAGCTGGTACTAGGGTTATGTAGCTAAAAGACAACCTAGTGTACCTTTTACCCCTTTACAAGCTGCAAATCAAAGAAACGACTCTGGTTGAAGCCTGATACTGCCTCCTGCTTTTATAATACATCCTTTTTAGGGTCCCAAGGGACCAAAAAGAAAATTATCCTTCAAAATAAACTAACCTAGGGACCACTTATTAGCATTTTATTAACATACAGCCATTTCTGTAGAAACAAGCAAAAAGATGCAATTTTCCAATACTGTTTCATTGCACCTACTGAAGAATAAACCTTCATCACTAATGCTCCAGCATGAGCATCTTGACCTCTATCTCAGCCAGCCTCTCAAAGACTAATGCAAAGGAAAGTAGCTTTTTTTAAATATAGGAAAGAAAAGATTACCTTAGAAGTTAATCCCATGTCTATCTATTCTAGACCACATATACCTGCACCTCTTCTTTCCAAGACAGGAAAAGGAAATAGTTTTCTACTACTAGTTCCAAGAATAATCAAAAGCTTCTACAGTTTGGATTGTCCTAGACACAAACCAACCTGTGTAATGTAAGGAGGCAGGTGGCAGGAGTACTGAGCACTCATAACTTGGAAACAATCAGCATGTTTTAACTGCATGCATTTCCTGAGCCTGGGTACATGCTGGTCTGGCACTTGTGAATATTTTTTTGCAGGAGATTTGGCAGCTCAGAATCCTCTCTGTCTTCTTTGAGGAGGTGGTACAAGCACAGGGACTCCTTAAGCTCATGGCCCCTCTCCCACTGAAAGGGGTATCATAAGGGAGTACGGGTTATTGCATAGTAAAGTTGGTCTCTGTTTAAAACTAGTATTAAATGGGGCCAGAGTGGCACTTCTTGGCATGTGCTGGTTGTAAACAGTATGCTGCTGAAATGCTATAATATTGCTTGACACCTGCGCTCTAGTGATTTCAAGAGGAAAAATATTTTACTAGATGTTAGCGAGGTGATGAAAATATTTAGTAAGTTCAGTGAGATTTTAGCCATGCTAGGTGAACCTGTGTCCCATCTATTCTTTTCTTAAAGCTTTGTAGTCTTTTCCCTTTTTCTTTAATGCTATTATAATTTTAAAAGAATCAACCCACTTGAAATTTATCTTGATAAAAAGATAGGTATTTATGTTTATACATGTCTGTTTGTATTAGGTATATAAAGTATTTTAAATTAGTATTGACTTTTACCCCCACTGATTATATTTACATAATCCTGTATAAAATTAAGATTACAGTGAAAACCTACCAACTTATTTTCAATGTAATGGCTTCTATTTGCAAAAGGTGGGGGGTTTTTTAAGCATAAAGTATAATAATCTGTAACAAATTGCCGCAAGCTTATTGGCTTAAAACAACACAAATGAAAAACCTTACAGTGCTGTAGTGTAGAAGTCTGAAATGGGTCTCACTGAGCTAAAGCCAGACTATCAGCAGGTCAGTTCCTTCTGGAGGCCCTAGGGGGAATCCATGTCCTGTTTTGTCCTTTCCGTCTGCTAGAGGGTGCCCTCTTTCCTTGGCTTTTGGCGTCTTCCATCATCAAAGCCAGCAAGATCGGGCTTAGTCCTACTCACTCTGCCATCTTTCTGGTTCTAACTCTTCTGCCTCCCTCCTCCATCTTTTAAGGGCCCATGTGATTACATTGGACACACGTGGAAGCATCAGGCTACTCTCCCACTTTGATCCTTAATTTAATCACATCTATTGAGTCCCTTTTGCTATGGAATCTAATATATTCACGGGCCCTGGGGACGAGGGCATAACATGTTTCAGGGGACCATTATTCTGCCTACTGCAATCCCATAAATAAACCTACCATCTTGTCTTACCTTCTGGAAGTGGCATAAACAGTGTAGTACTGATGGTTCTACTGCCACCTTTGACCGAATCTCTCTCTCTCTTCCTTTTGGAGATGCCATTACCAAATATTTCAGAGAAATAGGAGGGGTTTCAGTAGAACTAGGGGACTCAACTGTGTAGTTGTGTAGCAAGTCATTCCCCTGGGGTTTCAAATCAGCACCTTCATGTGAAGCCTGTGGATAAGAACTGAAGCTTTATCTAGACCCTGGAGCTGTTCAGATGGCCGGAATCCTGGAAAGTGTGCGCCGCTTTGCAAATGGAAGAGAAGGTCCATGAGCTGCTGCAGTGGGTTCTAGGAAGTTGAATGCATACAAATGCCAAGAAGTGTTGTTTTAAAAATTAAGGTTTCTTTCTAAAAATACAAATTGCAGAAAAAGAATTTTTACTACATGATGGAGGATGAAACCACTCATTTGCATCCTAAATCAATACTTTAGCCTTAGCCCCTAAGATAGGTCATTTTAATCTCTATTTATGTTTATCTTGTTTTTCTTTTTCTCTGCTCTGAGGTTTTTATGCTTTCGGTAGATATCAGTTTTCTTCTCATTAAGTCTACAAACATCATCATTCCTGTCTGTTTATTTCATTTTTAATAATTTATATTTAAATTTTGGCAAATTGAATGGTCTAATTTTGCCCTTTGAATGCCTATGCATTCAAGTTCTGTAGGCAGATTTTACCTCTTGGTTCTTTTAAAATTCTATTTTGAGTTTTATAAAAATGGACGTTTCTTACTATCCCCCCAACCCACAATTTTCTTTAATGAACTTTTTGTTTAATTTCCTTTTGCTGTGACATTTTATTTTTCAGACACCTCTCATTGAACCTCACGTTCCTCTTCGTCCTGCTCACACCATTACCAAGGTAATGGGATGTCAGTGGGTTGATGAGCCATCAGTAACCACTGGAGGTGGTCCTTATGGCAGAGCATCACACCAGGCAGCCTCAGACACATTCTCCAGAGACGATAAATATGCAGTGGGTCTTGGTTCTCAACATGAAACAGTTACACATATGAAAAATGTAAATGTATGAATGAGTTGTATTTTTCAAACCAGAGTCAGATTGGAAAGTGATTTAAGGATTCAGCTGGCTTGTTTTGCTTCTATAAACTCTCCTTCTTTCTCTTCCCCTCCTTCCACCTGATTAAAATCCAGGTCCCTTCAGAAAAGATCCTCAGAGCTGGAAAAATTTTACGAAATGCCATTCTTTCTCGAGCACCTCACATGATAAGAGATAGAAAATACCACCTGAAGACATACAGGTATGTGCAACAATTCTAAAGTCTGCCAGCCCCTCAGGTTCATGTTTAGTGAAATTGAAACAAATTTGCATTTCCCCATTTTCATGCATGGGCAGCATGTTTTCTAATCCTCATGGTTCTGGAAGATTCAAGCTTGTCTTGGATCCTGCATAACTTTAATTATCCTTAATATTCCCAGCAGTTTGTCCTAAAGTAATTTGCTTGAACATTGGTTTAATCGTGATGAACAAATAGAGGGAAACTTTTGTATTTCTGTTTACTGGTGTTTTTTCGGAAAACTTTATTGAGATGAGATTCAACTAATATGTACTGGGCATTTATTTATGCTTGAAGCCCTGTACCAGGCCTCTTTCTATACATTATCTCATTTTATCCTCATGGTAATCTTCTAGGTAGGTGTATGGCCATTTTTCAGATGATAAAACTGAGGCTCAGAGAGATTAAATAGTCCAAGTCATAAATCTAGTGAGTGGCAGAGCCAAAATTTAAACAAAGGTTGGTTCAGTGGTCTTTTCATTCAGCCTATCGTTTCTTCATTTCACAAACATATTGAACACCCATTGGCCACCAGGCATTATTGTTTTTCAAGCCCTATGGGTACATGAATGAAAAATATATATACAATGTCCTTTACAGATTTTACTTAGAAAGTAAATGTAGATTTTATTCTATCATGTATATAATAGATATCACAGCTATAGTCATATAGAATTAAGGATTCATTATAGCTGTCACTGGAGTTAAAAAAAATAATAAAGACTGGAGCAGCATGATCCTTCTGGGAATGACTATGCCATGATGAGTCAAATAAGAATATATATCTAATCTCTACCTCCTGGTTTTATCAATTCAGTAAGGGTTTAGGAGCTGGAATGGCCGACAGGTGGCACACGGGCCTTCATGCTCTCCTCCGACCCGCCATTCAGGCTCACGGCCCTCTTCCAGCAGGCGGTCCGACCCGCTTCCCACTCATCCTAGACGTGACCTCGGAACCCGTCAGACTCGGCCTGAGTCAAAACCCACTTGATTCATGCAAACCAAGTTCATGAGACAGTGCAAAGCTAGAATACACATTTTAAGTCACCATGAAGGGGATATATCTTTTTAGTGACTATCAACTGTGATAGAACCTGTAAAATTATACCTGGCTAACCCTACAGAAAACCATCAAGAACATGTGCCTCAAGATTCAGTCTTTTTCCCAAGGACAGAGATGGAAAAACATTGCGAATTCTATCCGATCATGTTTTCTGTGCTCCACACAAACTAACGTTGTTCTGCTTGCATTTATCATGAATGTGTTTTATTTACTTATTTTGTTTTTATTTTCAATTACAGTTTACATTCAATATTATTTTATATTAGTTTCAGGTGTACAGCATAATGATTAGACGATCATATATTTACAGTGGTCCCCCTGATATTTCTGGTACCCGCCTGGCACCACACATAGTTATGACAATATTATTGACTGTATTTCCTATGTTGTACATTATACTCCCATTAGTATTTTGTAACTAACAACCTGTACTTCTCAAGCCCTTCACCTTTTCCACCCAGTCCCCCCACCCTCCTCCCCTCTGGCAACCAGTGGTCTGTTATCTGTATCTATAAGTATGTTTCTATTTTGTTCATTTTTATTCTTCTTTAGATCCCAAAATGTTTACAATACCAAAATGGATAGTTTATTTGTTCCATTGGCCTCTTTTTGTTAGAATTTTTGAAACAAGATGGGATTTAAGAAACAGTCTTATCAGTAGCACATTCCTCTTAGTACATATTCCATCTCTTGAGACAGATTGTTCATCTGACCCCTTTAATGTTGATATTTACTAGCTACCATTTTGGATACTTATACTTGGAAGTCCTTGCCTCCAGCCCTGGAATCTCACTCTTTTGGGAGTCTGTGGTCCCTACACACTGCTATAATTTTAAAGGAAGTTAAGGTTAAAAAGAACTGAGTTTAACCTCTTTAACTCATTAAGTGAATTTCAAGATCTCATATGGCAAAAGGGCCTTTTTCTTTTTAAAATTTGGTCATGCTTTCCCAAGTGTTGACTTGCATTAGGGAAACTTCATTAAAATGTGTCATCTTTGGTGACAAATCATGGAAACTAGAAGTCAGAAACCATAATCGCTTTCTTGCTCCATAGTACTAAGATTTTACACCCCTGAAATATAGGTGTTATGTCTATTCCACACCCTATGACACAAATTAATGATCTGTTGGTAATGACCCACAGACTCAACCGGAAGCCAACAGCATGATTTCTTTTTTCTGCAACACAGTTTGAGTTCCTTGTTCCAGATCTTGTTCCCAATGCCATCTGCATCCTCCTCCCTGCTCCTCACCCCATTATATTATCCCTGCGGTATTAGGCGGTAGAAGTCTCCCCAGATGCAGTATCATCCCTAATGACCACTCTGTTAGTGATCTGCCGTCACTTCTAAAGTGGCTAGGGGTCGTTAACAGAGAGGAAACCCCGTGACCCCATCAGCTACAAATGAGCTAGCCTGGTGTCTTTGTTCTGTGTCCTGACCCTGCGCAGGATTCTTAGGCCCTCTACCGGGGCCCAGATGGCCTGGGGTCGTCTGAATTCCACGTGCTCTTTTTGGTAAAGACAATCTTTGGATTAAAAACCACAGGAGGCTGATTTTGTTTATGCTTTTATAAGACTTTGGCCGTTGATCAATTCTCAAATTAGAAGAGAAATATTTTGAAAGATCATACGTTTAGTCCAGAATGAAGAATAACTAGGGCCTCTTTGCCCATTGCAGCTTCAGTGTGTGGGCATAGACTAATCAGAGCAGTCCTGGAACTCTAACTGCTTTCTCAGAACCTCCTCCTTGTGAAATACTTTAGGGCACCCCTGCATCAGGGCATCCCAGGAGCTCTAATAAATTTCAGTTCCTGGAAAGGACCTCAGAGGTCATCTTTTCTTCCTCCTTTCTTTTACAGATGAGAAAACTGAGAACCAGAGAGTTGAAACAATATAGCCAAAGTCCTATGGCTAATAAGTTGCAGAGCTGGTCCCGGCAGGCTAAGCCTCTTTCTAAAGTGCCAACAGTACCAGGAATCTCCTCCAATTGAAACTAAAAAGGAGCTCCCTGGGCTTGACCCAGGCTCACCCAGGCCCCAGAGCTGGTGACATCCTTAGCATGGGAGGGAGGCCACCAGTGACTCAGATCCAGCTGCTCTGTGACTCCCTACCTCCTCCATTGTCCCTTGGGATTCATCCCTGGGACTTAAAGATTCCATTTTCTCCCTTGAACCATGATGCCACGGACACCTGCTTTCTCTGTCACCCCACTGAAGGTTTTATTTACTGTTTCTGTGTGTGTGTGTGTGTGTGTGTGTGTGTGTGTGTGTGATTATATGTTTCCTAACTAATGCATGTAGTTTGCCCATCCTGACCAACTTACTGCAGAGGGGCATCTTAGGGATGAATGTGTGACTACACAGGAAGCCTTTGGAGCTCTTCAGAAGACAGGCTCTGTAGAAGTGCTGATACTCATTACGTGGAACTTATTTCTGAGAGATTTGCATCGCTAATTGCTTGTTTCTCCCAACACCCCTCTGAGGAAGATCAGTAGTATTACTTGAAAATATAAAGTGCTATATAATTTTGCACTTACACAGCGCCTTTCATGGAGCACCTCCGAGTGCCTCACAAACATTAACTCATTCCTCCCAAGGCTCGGGTGAAGGAAGTCAGAACTTTGCTTTGCCTTCATTTTACACTGAGATTTTCTGAGATAGGCACAAGATGAGAGAGTTTCTGGCCCTGCACTGTTTGGCTTGCCAGATGATGCTTCCTGTCTAGCAGCCCTTTGGTCTCCCCTGCTGCTGCAACCAGTAATGTTCTTTTGTTTCGCCAGCCCTGCTTGGAAGTTCTCTCATGAGCAGAGTAGGTTCCTTGGTTTATTCAAAAGTTTGAGAACCCGAGGCCACACCGTGTGGTGCTTTGCTTGCGCCATGTGATGGCAGAGCACTAAGCTCTTTGGGGGGCCTCCTCTCAGAAGAGACACCTTCATCTACAAGGGGGTGATCTTCCATTCTTTGGGTTCCCCTCCTCTTAGACAATGCTGTGTGGGAACTGAGCTGGTGGACTGGATGCTGCAACAGACCCCGTGTGTTCACTCCCGAACTCAAGCTGTCGGCATGTGGCAAGTTCTGGTGGAAGACGGTGTCCTCAACCACGGTAAGATGAGCCACCGTCCCTGGAAAACCCTCAAGAAATGCTAAGTGCGTTTCCCTGGGTAAGTCATTGCTGAACTCCCCAAATGGGCAGGAAAGAATTACGACCCCTTTAGGGAGCCTCCGAGCTAAGCATCTTCATTTAGCAAAACAAATGCAGCGAGGGCCTGCTATTGATTGCTGCGTTCCACCCCTGTACCTTCCTAACTTGGGAGACTGTGTGAAGGAAAATGAAATTGCAACCCGAGTGCATCAGTTCCAATTATGTTTATTAGTTTGCATTCACGGTTCATTGATAGTGTGATTATACTCTGAGTGCTGCACAGCCACCCTGAGGCAGAGGCAGGGTGAAGAGCAGTGAAAGGGGTGGCTGGGCTGATGACAAGGAAGAAAGTAATGAACTCAGAAGCTGCCTGGTAACCATGGCGTTATCTGGGGGAGCCAATTTGTACACCCGCAGGAGGACCACGTCTAAAATCAGGCATGTGTTCGGCGGCGGTATCTGCAGAATAGCTGTTCGGGGCTGGAGCGTGACTGGGGCTGAGCCACTCGCGCTGTTCGTGTGAAGACCGCTTTTCCAAATGGCCAAACTATTAAAATATTCCACTTAATTTACCGGCATCGGGGAATCTACTGATGGTCTTGCCAGTGTTTCTCACACTCTAATGTCCATACAAGCCACCTGGGGCTCTGGATAAAATGCAGATTCTGAGGCAGCAGGTTTGGGACAAGTCCTGAGGGTCTGCGTTTCCATCTCGCCCCGCCCCCGCAGATGCTGCTGCTCCGGTATCGCGTTTTTATCTTCTCTTTATCTTCTGTCAATGATGATGCTCCAACCTGAAAAGGGGCTTAAAAGCTTTAAGATATAATGAGGAGGGGTTCTGAGCCAAGGTCCCTGACTTAGTCCTTCCAAGATCTAAATCTTTTCATTTGGAGGAAACAAGGGAAAACCCTTTAAAAGATCAGAACTGGATGGGAATTACCATAAAATTTTCCCAGGGATACCTGAGGAGGGTGACCTAGAAACTTGGTCTAGTCAGCTTTGTTCAAACAATACAAACAATTTTACTCTGTTTTTTTTTTTTTTAAGTACAGACAAACATGTGTATGAACAATACATATAGAAAGAAAAACATGAATTCGGAACCAACCAAAGTAGGTTTGGTTTCTTTTTAAGTCTGTACTTTCAATTTACAGCATGATCTGGCAGTTGGTTATTTTCCTGTTTCGGACATATGTACCACGGTACCACATGCTAGAAAATGTCATCAGGGTAATTTTTGCTCATCTCACACAAGTTGGCAGGTTGTCCTGCAGGAGCCCTAGGCTGGCCCAGGAGACGGGCGGGTCAGAGGGAGCTGTGAGGTACCCGACTGCAGCCGGGAGGCCACATCTTCCAGCTGCACGGCCCTAGGCAGGCGGAGTGAGAAGCTTGAGGAGTCTCACCGTTTTGCTACCACTTGGCTGTCTTGCCCGACATCATCTGTTTGTTTCTGGTAACCAGGGCTGGGAGGCAGAGGTGCGCCAGCTGACACTTGCCTCCATGTTTCCCATAGTGGACCAGGAGCATCATTTCCAGGACAAGTATTTATTCTATCGGTTTCTGGATGATGAGCACGAGGATGCTCCCTTGCCCACAGAGGAGGAGAAGAAAGAGTGTGAGGAGGAGTTCCAGGACACCATGCTGCTGCTGTCACAGTTGGGCCCCGATGCCCACATGAGGATGATCCTCCGCAAATCGTGAGTAAGAGCTTGGTGCCCACCTGCTGCGTGTCACCGGGGCCACGCGGTGGACAGGCACACGCTCCGGGGCTGGGGGAGGAGCAGCCGATTTCCAAAGTCCTGGTCTCCTCCCCCAGGGCCAAAGGAGAGACTCTGAAGGGCGAAACAGCAGTGTGCGTCTCTTTTCTATTTTGCTTCTGAGCCAGATAAATTCATTTCCCTTTTTCATGCATTAAAAATATAGAGATTTTTTAGTGGTTGGCTCAGGATGAAAACTGAGTCTGCATGTTAACCGACCTTTGGTCAATGACAACAATCTGCTCTGTGTCTATGCCAGACCATTACAGCCCCTTTCTTCCTAGCGCAGCAGGCAGAGGCTGTCAGAACCGCAGACCTCAGGCCTGTGCTTGTATTCATTCGTTCATTCAGCTCAGCCTTTCACCCTGTTCTGCACCTTCTGCTCTTTATCTTAAAGACGCATGCTAAAGAGAACCACACTGCTCCGTCATTGCTTCGGGGCCTCCGTTCAGCCAGGGGTCGCTCTCTCCCTTCTATCGAAACCTAGCTCCCCTTCAGGGGCAGCTGAAGTTGATTCAACTGTTTAATCAGGTCCATTCAGAAAGAAAGGATTGAGCCTCTCTTCCTTTCAGGGAGCTCTCCGAATTGCTGTGAAGCACACACAAGCACACGCTGTGGTCCCAACCTCAGGGAGACTTTTCGATGAGAGATAGCTTGGCACTTGGTTCTGAAAGCACCACGCACAGGCTTATGTTTTCCTGCTGGAAATGAAATTGTCCTCCACCCTGCAACCGGTGCCAGCCAGCTGTGGGCGTCAACGCTGAGTCACTGGCTTGGCGGACCTCCCTTTACTAGCGGATCTCGACAAGAGGGTTGAACTTTACGTCTTATGTGTCCACTGGGCACTTTCCAAAAGTGACCTGTCCCTCGGACCAGCTTCCTCAGCTCTGCCCCTCACGCCAATTCACAATAGCCTCTCAGCTCACTTTTCTTTCCTCAGGATTCTTCCCCTTTCACTCGCCCTTACTCAGTGCTGCACAGTGCTTTTCAACATACTTCATTTTTTATCACACCATGTCCCCTTTGTCAAAACTCTCTCTTGCATCTTACTGTCCCCTGCCATGTGTTTAAGGGCCGTCCCTTCTTCACTTTGGAACTATGATATTCAGCTCCTTTAGCCTCAAACAAACAAAAACACAAATTTGTTCTTTTGCTTCAAAATTTTGTTTCTTCAAAAAATTTTACTAGAAAAACCCCAAATATCAAACAGAAAGCCAGCGTTTCACCGATGTAATCACAAGGAGCATCCAAGAACTCTTCCCAAGCGATGTACGCTTTGTCTGCCCTGAAAGATCATAGGGGCAGGTGGCTGAGGGGACACGAGAGAACCCCCAGGGCTGGAGAACTCAAACAAGCACCACGGTTCTAAGCCATGCTTTCTTTTCCTGTCAGACTGCTTCCTCTCTCTCCTCCCCGCCCTTTTCCCTATTGTCTTTACTTCTGCATCATTTCCTGGATCCATCCCTTACTTGCTGTTTTTGATGGCCCTTTCATTTAAGGCAGCACCATGCAGGGGTTCTGAATCAGAAATGGGACAGCCCCCTTCGGGCATTTGGGAATGTGGGAGAATGTGTGGTTGTCTTGGTGCATGGGGGCGGGGTGGGGGGGGCGCACTGCTGGCATCCGGCGGCCAGCGGCCGGGACCAAGGAACGCTGAGCACAGCTCCCCACCTAGAACCCTACAGAAAGAGACCGGTCCTGGAAATAATGCCCCTGTTGAGAAAAACTGCTGTAAACTGTTTCTTAAAGGCAAAAACATACCTCGTTTTTACTCCATTCATTCATTTATTCATTTAACCAATTTATATTGAACACCTATTTTGTTCTAGATACTGTGTTAGTTGCTAAGGCTGCAGCATTGAACAAGAGGGTCACACCTCCTTTTCGGAGCTTTCTTCTAGTGCAGGAGACAGACCTTAAACAACTAGTTATGCAAGCAATCATTTTATCTTAGCTGCATCAGGTACTACAAAGGAGAATGTAATGGGTGTCAATGGAATATAATATGGAGGGGGGATTTAACCTGGCATAGAAGTTAGAAAAGGCCGTGTCCCCATGAATATACAGCCCCAGCTAATGTTCCCTCAGCTCTTAGTTGCTTCAAGGGAGGCAGACATGTCATTCTATTTACAAAGACTTTTGAGTATATACCGAAGAGGTTTAAAAAAGCAATAAAATGGTTCCTGCCTTTGGGGAGTTTATAATCCAATGGGAGAGGCACTCCCAAATTAGATTCAGATGCAGCAAACATTTGTTGAGTGCCTGCTACGTGCTAGGCAACTGCTAGGAACCTTCACACTAATTGTTTGATTTACACTCAAAAGAGCCCGAGAGCTGGTTTCATGAGTCACCCTTAGAAATTGAATTCTGTTCTTTTGCTTCTTTTTTGCTCCCATGTAGTGTTGAATTGCATGATCCTTGGCAGCCCAAAGATTCTTCAGAGAAAATTACATTGCAAAGATTGAAATTTTCCAGCCTATCACTGGTTGTTAAAGAGCAGGTTTCACCAGAATTATTTTGGGGGCTCTTGGGATTCTCCCACCTCCCAGATTTTATGGAACCACAAACATTAGAAGTGGGCTGATGGTTCTGCTTTTGAGTCTGTACTTTGGGGTTTTTTTTTCTTATTGTAAAGACAGCACCCAATAGATGGGAAACTGAAAAAGAAGAATCTTATTTAATGAGACAGACTTTCCAGATCTCCAGACACACACACACACACACACACACACTCCCCATTTTTTTTTAATCTGATAATTTTTGGAGCTTCTACCTTATTTTATTTAAGTGGAAAGAAAATAAGCTTAGTTGATCAGGAATTTCTGGTATCTCTGCTGTCCTTGAAGAGACCAGCTGAGCACTTTTCTCCTGGATACTTGGGGGAGGGTCTGTAAGTCCTAGAAATATTGTCTTTTTTTACCCAAACTGCGAAGTCATCCAGAAATGTGGAGGCGTGAGATGCATTGGCTCCATATCGACCGGGCAGGACCCCCCAGTTTTTTAACTCAGCACAGCTGCATTTTCTAACAGTCACCACTGCCAGAGGGGTTGCCGAACTCTGATAATTACTGGGAAAGAAATAACACAATATTCTTTGATGAGAAGATTACTTTGAGAATTTGATTGTATAATGAAGATGTTGCTTTGAAAGGTACTTCCTATTGTTCTGAATCTGTGACTCGCTAGCAAAAAAAAAAAAGTGTCACTTGTTTTGACAGGCTACTTAGAAAAATTCTCTGTTTATTACATTAACGGCGGCATTTTAACTGTCAAACTATGAAAGAATGTGCTATAGTCTAAAAAACAGAATAGAGCTTCAGGGGAAATTTTTTGGCACACTCTTGTTGCTATTGGTATTGGGAAAAAACATACATTCTGACTGTGAAATTAGCTTTTTATGTGGTGGCAGGCAGAGTGACTCACAATGCCCATGCTGGTTTCACAGGTGCAGACCTGGATGGCATCTGGGGGCAATGCCGCAGAACAATGACATTTTGACAGTGCTGTTGTTGCAGCTTGCAGACAAGGCCATCAAACCTAAAAGGAGGCCTTGGAGCTTATTGTTTTGATTTTGCTTTGTTTACAAGCCTGCAAACAAGAGGTTACCCTAGAGCACATAGATACAATGGAGACCCTTAGCAGTCGAAACATACATTCTGGCTAACTTGGAGCAGATACTCTGGACAGGGGGCCATGGGCAAAAGGATGTGGAGTGACCAGGTCAGCAGATGGTTCAAACTTGAAACCGGCTGGATAAAAAGAGGCTTCAAGAGGACAAAGGAGGTTCTTGCCATACAAGTCTCCCAACCTCTTCTTCCAAGTAAAATGAGATATAATGCTCGCATAGAAAGATCAATGAGAAACCAGCCTAAAGGTGGGAGAGAAATGAAGTAGATGCCATTTCCCAAATCTAATTCTGGGTAGGTCTGCAATTCTGAAATTCCCTAAAAGCCTAGAAGCTTCACTAGTTCAGAAAGAGATTGTCAGTGAGACCTAAGCAGACATAACATGAATATTTAGTATATTTATTATTATATATTAAATATATTATATAAAATATGTTTATTTACTACCTGTATATAATAAGAGAATTGTAGCAGGTTCTGGAGTCTTTCAAACAGGTCAGAAATTCAGAAACCTAATTATTGTATGTGAAATATTTTCTAACATATGCTACAGGGCATTAGGTTGAAAAGGAAACGAGTTAAGATGACATGAAAATGGCGGGGATGTGCGAGGCATGAGGCAGGGGGCGGGGAGGGGGAGGCGCAGGGACCAGGGGCGGTGTTGGCTGTTCCACACGCTTGCTCTAGAGGGCACCTGAGAGGCTGTGTATTTTCTCTTAATTAGCAGGGCCTGTTTTAATAGGGTCTTTTTTTGCCCAAGCTGCTTTTGAGGGTGTGGAACTTGAAACCATGATTAATTATAGGAAAATTTGCCTCCTCAGCGGAACCCAGATTAGCAAGCCTAAACTCAGCGGTGCCTAGGGTTTTGATTTTTATTGGGATATGCCAAGAGTATGTTCAGAGTTGTAAAGCCCATACTCAGATGCAAAGAGATGAAAAGAGAAGCATGACTGAAAGAGGCTAATCTTAATGAAATAAATTCACTGTGAATCTTTCCCTTCACGGCAGGACAAATGTCGCCATTGTTTTTCCTGGAAAGATTGCAGTGCCCGCTGAAAGCTTGTAGAATTTACCAGAGGAAAAGATTGCGTTAAGTGGGCCATTTCTTGGGGTTGGATTTGCCCCTCCTGTGTAAAAGCAATTTCCCCTTCTCCCTCACGTTGACATGCCCAAGAAACCAACAGTTGGAGTGCTACCGTGAGGGGTCAGATTTGGGAGAGGGGAAGATGGAGGTAGCTGCCCCTTTATAGTCTACGGTTCATTATAAGATTACCTCAAGATCGTAATGACTTTTAATTGTTAAAGTCAATCTGT